CGCAAAGCACGTGAAGCATCGTGAGGCGACTCTTTTTCCGTTCACTTCTCGCAGGGACACGAGCTCGACCCGAAAGCAGACACAGGGTCTGCAGCAAGGGCTGTCTTCCACTAGCTAAGTTCCCCGAAGCGGAGTTCCTAAACCCTGAGCGCTAAACCGTCCTAAACCTCTATACCCTAACGCTTAAACCTTAAATTCCACTAAACCCTAATAAACCTTAAAAACAAACCATTGTAACCTTTCACGCCGTGCTTTATAACCCCCGTTTAAGAATTCTATAATCAAAGCATTGCCTGGTTGTCGAGGCCAGGCTGGAAAACTCCAGTGCGTGCGGGCTCAGTGGCCGCAGATGGCCATGCGCTGGATTGCGCCGATTGCGCTGGAATGCGCCGATTGCGCTGGAATGCGCCGAATGGGTTGGAATGCGCTGGAAAGCACCGATTGCGCCGAATTGCGCCGAATTGCGCCGATTGCGCCGAATTGCGCCAATTGCGCCGAATTGCGCCAATTGCGCCGTCTGCGCCGAATTGCGCCGAATTGCGCCGATTGCGCCGATTGCGCCGAATTGCGCCGATTGCGCCGAATTGCGCCGATTGCGCTGGAATTGCGCTGGAATTCTGCCTATACAGCCTGGCACACAGGCAATGCTACCCTGTGGCTGTTGCAGCCTGGTTGTGTCCTTGGTTTTGCAGCCTGCCCTGTCGTACCAGGTTTTTGTGGCTCATTGCTGGCAGCAGTTCCCGCAGTCCTGCGATTTCTCTTCAACTGTCAGTCAGAGAGAGTTTTTACATTTCACGTGTTGTTCTTGCATCCTATTCAGCGGTTTTTTTGGACGAACGACTTCAACGAATCTTCTGACTCTAATTGAGTCGAACCCTGACTCTTGTGCGTGACCCGGAATTTTATGGAGCACTTCGGAACTTTTTTGGGTTTGTTATTGTGTCTTTGTTCTTCTGAAAGTTTTCTGAAATCTATGACTACTGATTCTTGAAGAACCCTGACAGGTCTTGAAGATGAGGGTCCCTTGGACTCTGATGGAGGACTGGGCGCCCCTGATTTTTATTCAGAACCCTTACCTCTCCTTGAACTCCGAGGGTGGGGCTTTGGACTGATGGGGCACCCCTGATTCTTAAATCAAAGCTTTGACAGATGTTGAACTCCGAGGAGGAGGCCCTGGACTGATGGAGCGCCCATGATTTTCAGCGCCTCTTAGTGAGCTTGAACTCCGGGGGTGGGGCCTCGGACGCCACTGGTTTTTTTGATCAGAACTCTTTCAAAGCTTGAACTCCGAGGGTGGGGCCTTGGACTCTGATGGAACGGGGCGCCCCTGATTTTTAAATCAGAACCCTTACAGATCCTTGAACTCCGAGGGTGGGGCTTTGGACTGATGGGGCACCCCTGATTCTTAAATCAAAGCTTTGACAGATGTTGAACTCCGAGGAGGAGGCCCTGGACTGATGGAGCGCCCATGATTTTCAGATCACCGCCTCTTAGTGAGCTTGAACTCCGGGGGTGGGGCCTCGGACGCCCCTGTTTTTTTAATCAGAACTCTTTCAAAGCTTGAACTCCGAGGGTCGGGCCTTGGGTTGCTGGGGCACCCCTGATTTCTAAATCACAACCCTTACAGAGCTTGAACTCCGAGGGTGGGGCCTTGGACTCTGATGGAGCGGGGCGCCCCTGATTTTTAAATCAGAACCCTTACAGATCCTTGAACTCCGAGGGTGGGGCTTTGGACTGATGGGGCACCCCTGATTCTTAAATTTGAACTCCGAGGAGGAGGCCCTGGACTGATGGAGCGCCCATGATTTTCAGATCACCGCCTCTTAGTGAGCTTGAACTCCGGGGGTGGGGCCTCGGACGCCCCTGTTTTTTTTTAATCAGAACTCTTTCAAAGCTTGAACTCCGAGGGTCGGGCCTTGGGTTGCTGGGGCACCCCTGATTTCTAAATCACAACCCTTACAGAGCTTGAACTCCGAGGGTGGGGCCTTGGACTCTGATGGAGCGGGGCGCCCCTGATTTTTAAATCAGAACCCTTACAGATCCTTGAACTCCGAGGGTCGGGCCTTGGGTTGCTGGGGCACCCCTGATTTCTAAATCACAACCCTTACAGAGCTTGAACTCCGAGGATGAGGACTTGGACTTTGATGGAGCGGGGCGCCCCTGATTTTTAAATCAGAACCCTTACAGATCCTTGAACTCCGAGGGTGGGGCTTTGGACTGATGGGGCACCCCTGATTCTTAAATCAAAGCTTTGACAGATGTTGAACTCCGAGGATGAGGACTTGGACTGATGGAGCGCCCATGATTTTCAGATCACCGCCTCTTAGTGAGCTTGAACTCCGGGGGTGGGGCCTCGGACGCCCCTGTTTTGTTTAATCAGAACTCTTTCAAATCTTGAACTCCGAGGGTCGGGCCTTGGGTTGCTGGGGCACCCCTGCCTTCCTTCTAAATCGCAACCCTTACAGATCTTGAACTCCGAGGGTGGGGCCTTGGACTCTGATGGAGCGGGGCGCCCCTGATTTTTAAATCAGAACCCTTACAGATCCTTGAACTTTGAGGGTGGGGCTTTGGACTGATGGGGCACCCCTGATTCTTAAATCAAAGCTTTGACAGATGTTGAACTCCGAGCATGAGGACTTGGACTGATGGAGCGCCCATGATTTTCAGATCACCGCCTCTTAGTGAGCTTGAACTCCGGGGGTGGGGCCTCGGACGCCCCTGGTTTGTTTAAACAGAACTCTTTCAAATCTTGAACTCCGAGGGTGGGGCCTTGGACTCTGATGGGGCGGGGCGCCCCTGATTTTTAAATCAGAACCCTTACAGATCCTTGAACTCCGAGGGTGGGGCTTTGGACTGATGGGGCACCCCTGATTCTTAAATCAAAGCTTTGACAGATGTTGAACTCCGAGGAGGAGGCCCTGGACTGATGGAGCGCCCATGATTTTCAGATCACCGCCTCTTAGTGAGCTTGAACTCCGGGGGTGGGGCCTCGGACGCCCCTGGTTTTTTTGATCAGAACTCTTTCAAAGCTTGAACTCCGAGGGTCGGGCCTTGGGTTGCTGGGGCACCCCTGATTTCTAAATCACAACCCTTACAGATCTTGAACTCCGAGGGTGGGGCCTTGGACTCTGATGGAGCGGGGCGCCCCTGATTTTTAAATCAGAACCCTTACAGATCCTTGAACTCCGAGGGTGGGGCTTTGGACTGATGGGGCACCCCTGATTCTTAAATCAAAGCTTTGACAGATGTTGAACTCCGAGGAGGAGGCCCTGGACTGATGGAGCGCCCATGATTTTCAGATCACCGCCTCTTAGTGAGCTTGAACTCCGGGGGTGGGGCCTCGGACGCCCCTGTTTTTTTAAATCAGAACTCTTTCAAATCTTGAACTCCGAGGGTCGGGCCTTGGGTTGCTGGGGCACCCCTGCCTTCCTTCTAAGTGCAACCCTCGCAACCCTTACAGATCATGAACTCCGAGGGTGGAGCCTTGGGTTTATGGGGCGCCCCTGATATCAGGCTTATCGGGTTTATCGGGTTTCTCGGGTTTCTCGGGTTTCTCGGGTTTCTCAGGTTTCTCGGGTTTCTCGGGTTTCTCAGGTTTCTCGGGTTTCTCGGGTTTCTCGGGTTTCTCGGGTTTCTCGAGTTTCTCGGGTTTCTCGGGTTTCTCGGGTTTCTCGGGTTTCTCGGGTTTCTCGGGTTTAGCGGTGCGCGTCCGCTGTTTGCGCGCGCAGTGGAAAACTCAACTAGGGAAGACTAAACGAGGTCGGGGCTTCTTCCTACGCCATTATTTCCCGGATACGAAAGTGCTGTATCCGGAGCTGTCTCGCGGCAGCAACCCTGTCACGGAAGCTGCGGGGACCCAGGCTCTGGACAATGGACACCCCAGTCTCCCCACAAATAGTTGACAAGAACACATTTACAAACGGCCAGGTCTGAGTGTTTCTTTCGGAAGCCGAGAAGTTTAAAGCATGCGTCTCTGCCAGCAATGGGCTCATGGTCACTTCCTTCGAGACCCCAGGCCAAATCCAAAAGAGCAGCGATCAACGTGGAAGTCTTCCACCGCGCCTGTGACGGGGCTTGGCCTTCGCCGAGGTGCGACAACAGACCGACCGCGCAAGCTAGCACTCTCAAACGGCACACGTCACTGTACAAGTGCAGTGCCTGATGGTCTAGCAAGATCTGATACAAGCGTTTCTTCACGCATTCATGCCAAGGAACAGCTATGGCATCTGATGTCTTCTGCTTCCTTGATGTCGGCCGAACTAGCCGCATTGACCGACGAGCAACACTCACTCTGAAAGGGCGACGCTTCCAAGCCGCTCTGCGCTCCATCCTGTCGAAGTCCTTCATGTCAAGCGCTGTCTGGGTGCACATGTCGACGACTTCGTACTCCTCCGCAACAGGAACCACCGTCTGCACGCCACTGTCGGAGGTCTGCGTCTGGACCGGTCCCGGCAAAGGTTGCAAGGGAGCCGGTGTTTCTGGTCTCGGAAGCTTGCGCCTCACTGTGGGCACGTCCACGTCCACACTGAGGAACTTCCTTTCAAAATCCCAGTCCAAATCGCGCCTGGTGGCTCCCTTTGCCATGGCCTCAGCAATCGTGGTGGCGCACTTGTAGCGCTCGTACTTCTCGTACGCCGAAGTTTTCATTCCCCTGAAGCTCCAATAAGCTTTAAATAAGGTGACGCCTCTTTAAGAATTATAGGATAAGCGTTGAAGCTTTATTTAGAGCTGATATAATCAGCTTTAATTAAGGCTGACAGTTTTCCATACAACCGCTTATTATCTCTATATATATCGATGTATATATCTTTATATTATTTTTTTTCAGGAGGGCATATATGCATGTCTCTCCTGCATGCATGATCTGGATCGCGGCGACATTCGGCATGCATGCATGCTGCAGGCAGTGCAGTTGCAAGATCGAAGGAATATTGGCATGATATTGCAGGATCTGCGATTTTTTTTGCTCGAGTGTTTGAATTCTGTTTTTTGTAAGCAGCATGGCAATGTCGAGTCGGAGGTCCAATGGTGCCACCGGGAAAGATCTCATGAAGACTTTCAGAGGAAATCTCCAAGCTGTGGAAGCTGGAGATGCCCTCTTGTCTTTGGATGCTTTTTGCAAGAAGCATCATGTGCTCATGAAGGAGATTTTGGGCATCACTACTCGGCCGACTGCAGCTGTCATGCGTGAATCAATGAGCTTGGTGTGGCCAGGGGCACCAAGCTTGGAGCTGAAGACGTTTGCGAATCATCTTCACGAAGTTTACAAGACTCTCTTCACGAAGACTCGCAACATGTCCACAGGAGGAAGGCTGGCCGACAGCATTCAGGACATGTGCTTCTTCATCAAGGACTTGCTCGGTTTACCGGAGAGTAAGCAGGGGTCCAAGAGGGCAAGCTCAGGCTCTGCCCGGTCGCCCAAAGCCTCTCCGAAGAAGAAGATCAAGCAAAGGCTGGACTCGACATGCCAAAAGGCATCGACAAGGAAACTTGAGGTTCACGTCTCTGTGTCCTCTTCGGATGCAGGTGCAACAGTTAAGAAGGAGCCGGCAGAAGCTGCAGAACCTGCAAGCCATACGAGAGATGGGCCAAGGCCTCTGCCTACAGGCCAAATCAGCAAGCTATACCAGCAGGCTGCATCGGCCGCCAGCTTTTTCCACACAGATTTGTCAGTACCAACGGTGCTGCGAATTGCAGGTGACAGCCGAGAGGCTGCCAAGATGCACAAGGGGCCTTCTGGTTTTGCTGTGGCAGTGTGGTCCGATGGGCATCAGATCGTGAGCGAGATCCCGAACCTTCTGCTGGACAAAGCAGCTGCAGCCAAAGCATCTCCTAAAGGAAAAGCAAAAGCAGCTAGCAAAAAGAAGCCAGCTGCAGTCATCAAGAAGCCAGCCTGCCTTCCGCAGGAAGATGGAGAATCTCCAGCTGCATGTGCAGATGATGCTGCAGCAGGCCAAGATCTCGAAGCCCCTGCCGAAGCCGCTCTGGTTCCAGTCGATGCTCCAGCTGCAGATGATGATCAGGATCCGAACTATGGGGATGTGGCGGTTCTCCCTGCAAATGCGGTTCTTCGGAAGGAGTATCGTGCAGCAAACAACACCATGGCCTTTCGCATGATTTGGCGAAACGAAAAGAACAAAGAGTGCAAGAGGCAGATGTTCCAGCTGAAAGGCGGCTCCGCCACCACGAAGGAGCAATTGCATGCAACAGGAGAGGAAGCCCTACGAAAAGCTCGAGCTGGAGAGCCTTTGGCCCAGGTCAGGAGCTGGGCAGAAGAGCAACTGAGCAGCATGCAGCCATAGCTGGGTGAGCTGCAATCGAGACTCGACGATCGATGACGATTTCGCTTTCGAGCAGAAATTTTGTGAGTGCCTGCATTTTGGATCCATGCTTTTGCAACATGAAATTTGGAGTGTGCAGCATGCAACTTGAAGACTCTGTGTTTTTGTATATATCTGTAGCTGGCTCAAAGCATGCATGTCCACGTCTCTAGGTTAACATGGCTTGGGAGGTGTTTTCTATATATTATATTCTATAAATACGTAAATTAACAAATCTAGATATTTTGGCCATTTTGGCGCTTTGAGGGTTTAAGGGTCTATAGGATTAGATTCCTGTTGCCTGCCGGGCCCTCAGTTCGGTTGTGAGCCTGCCTGCCATAGCTTTGAGAGTTCCAAGCAGTGTTTTTTGTTTTCGGGAGGTTCGCCGCCTCCCGGGGTAGGTTTGAAGCCCCTTATGCCCCCTGTGCCCAGGTCGAGACCATGGTGCTCGTGCCGCTCTACTGCGAGGACAAGGACTGATCTGCAGATTCTTCATGTTCGTTTTTGTTTGCAAGTGCAAGGGCAGCAGATTTGTGGAAGTTCTTGCCTCCATGCTTAGAATTTTGAGCTCGAGGGCTCTGGAGTGCTTGTAGCTGTGTTTTTGGATTTGGGCCGCCATGGCGGCGAGCAAGCTCGGTGCAGCTGTGGATTTGGAGGAGGAGGAATCCGAGGAGTCGGAGGTCCGGGTGGAAGACCCGGCAGTGCCCGTGGCCGTGGCGGCCGAGGGTGCCCCGACGAGGCCGGGGCCGGATTTGAGGATGTGCAACCGCTGCAAGACTGTGGCATATCTCCGAAAGGGGGGTTGCAGCAATCCCGCATGCAACTTGGATTTTGAGTAACATTTTGAACTTAAGTGTGTTAATTTTCCTATTTTATTTGGGAGTCGTTTTGGACTCCCGTATTTTTTTATCAGGGTTTATGCAGCTCCGCCCTGCAGGCCCCCTGTACTATGTCCACCAGAAGGACTGGAAGTATCATGCGAAGGGGAAGCAGCGGGAGAAGAGCTGGATGGAGGATTCTGAGGGCTTCGAGAAGATGCTCTCCAACATGAGGTGGGCCTACAATAAAGCGGCCGAGGAGAACAAGGCCAAGGAAGCCCAGGAGGCCAAGGAGGCCAAGGAGGCCAAGGATCCCAGCAAGAAGGGCAAGAAGAAGAAGAATAAGGGGATCAACCGTCGGCTGCGAGGAGTCCAACGGGGCTTCACGAAGGGACCGGGTACCATCCGTGCAGAATCTCAGCTTCAATAATTTTTTCTGGAGTTCTATTTTGGGACTCCATGTATATATACAGCTAAGGAGAAGCCCTCGGAGCCGAAGCCGCCCAAGGTGCCATCGGAGCCGAAGCCGCCCATCCAGCCGAAGCCGCTGAAGCCGCCTATCAGCAAGGGCATCCCGAGGGCCTTTCAGGACAAGACGCCCATCAAGGCCGAGAGTGTGGGGAAGGCTTTGATCCCCAGGACGTATCCGAAAGTGATTCAGCCACCGGTGCCGGCAATCAACATCAATTTCTTTGGGAGCTCAGGTGCCTCCGGATCCTCAGGCAGGGATATATATTATGATAAGTTGTAATAAATTTTTTTATTATAGATTTTTCGCTGGAGTTTTTTTGGAACTCCAGTTTTTTTGTTTTCCCCTGCAGATGTCATCGCCGGGTTGCTTGCGGCCATTGGAGCCGGGATGGCGGGGCAGCCGCCGATGCCGCCGCCGGCGGCGGGCCCAGGGCCAATTATCGAGGAGGTTAAGCCCGAGGAGGAGCCCGGCATGGATGTGGACGATGAGGATGAGGAGGATGGCAAGGGCGATTCGGAGGAGGGCAAGAATAAGAGAAAGAGGGATGAGGAGTGATGTGTTTCACCCCCTGTGCAGAATGCATCTTCCAGGGCGATGATGATCAGAGCGATCGTGCAGAAAAGAAGTGTTAGTGTTGGAGCCGTTTTCAGTGGCATGTGGTGCTGTTGTTTTCAGGGTTTCATCATCCATGCTTTTTGGCAGGAGTTCCTTGGAACTCCTGAACAATGGTCTTGGCCTCAGAGTGCATGGTGTGCAGTCTGTAGCATGCAGTGCAGTTTTTTTGTTGTGTTTGCAGCTTCTTTGTATTGCAGGTTGGCTGGGCACCCCCATCATGGGTGTCGAGGCACCGGCGGATTAGGGTTTAAGGGTTAAAGGCAATATAAGGGTTTAGGGTTTAAGGGTTAAGGGCTTAAGGTTTCAAAGGTTTAGGGTTTAAGGGTTGAGGGGTTTGGGGGTTCAAGGGTTTAGGGTTTAAGGCTTTCAGGGTTTAGGGTCTAAGGATTTAAAGGTTCAGGGGTTTAGGGGTTCAGGGTTTAAGGGTTTAGGGTTAGAGGTTTTTAGGGTTTAGGGTTTAAGGGTTACAGGTTGAGGGGTTAAGGGTTTAGGGTTAGAGGTTTTTGGGGTTTAAGGTTTCAGGGTTTACAGGTTGAGGGGTTAAGGGTTTAGGGTTTGTTGTTTTTAGGGTTTAGGGTTCCAGTGTTTAAAGGTTAGGTTTAGGGTTTGAGGGCCCGGGTTCAGGGGTGTAGGGGTTGAAGCTTTTAGGGTTTAGGGTTTTTGGTTTTCGGTTTTACCAAGTTTAGGGTTTAAGGCATAAGGGTTGAGGTTTAGGGTTTGGGTTCAAGGTTGAAGCTTTAATGTTTATAATCAGTGTTATAGAATTATTATAATGTTGCAAGGGTTGAAAAAGGGTTGAAATTTCAACCGGTTGAAAAATGGCTTATGCTTTTGATTAAGTGGTGGGGTGGCTTTTTCAACCGGTTGAAATTTCAACCGGTTGAAAACGTAGTGCTGTATATATAAAACACTATAAGCTGTGTACCAAATTATTAAACTTTTTAGCTGGAGGCCACAGCCTCCAGGAAACCTGCAATACAAAGATCTTGCTGCTGTGCGGCTACGGTCTGGGTTGTTTCAGGACAATCTTCCAGGGTCTATATGTTCGGTGGCACAGGTTCTAGGTGTTCCAAAGGCTCATGGATAAAGGTTGTGCAAGGTGGGGGTTGCTCCAGTTGTATAGTGGTTTAGGTCAATTGGTGGTGTACATGCTGAGGATTCAAAGGTGTGGGTTTCAGGGATCGCCCAGTATGTTCAGAAGGCTTCTGGCCCTAGCAGGTTTTGGGTTCCAGTTTAATTTTATGTGGGGGCATCATTACATCATCATATCACAGTAACATGTGAATGTTACTGTGATATATGATGTAATGGTGTAACAAGCATGTATAGTGTGATGTACATGAACTTATCGTCATCTATAAGTATAATATCGATCGTCATTTAATATAGTATATACTCATATATAAAATATATGATATAAATATATATACATATACATATACATATATATATATATATATATGTACTAAAACCTTAAAAAGAATTAGTATCATAATCTTATATATATATATATATTAATGGACATATATATATATATATATATATATATATATATATATACACATACATCTAGACATCTATACATAAACACCCTTACCTTGTAGAACCTCTATACTTTGGATCTATGTTAACCCTTACAGAAACCCAAATCCTCTAATCCCTGAAGCTTGAAACCCTAAAGCAAAACCCTCAGGTGTCTTGCTGCATGTGCTGCAGATACCATGTGTCCGGGCCACAGGTGCAACAGTGATATGCTGCATCGTTTTGTCACAGCATGATAAACAAATGCATCAAAACACACTTTCGATTTTGTGGCTCCAGATCAAAAATAGTTTAAATAACTGGAGCCTTTGGTTGTACAGTTGCCCTTTTGGCATCATGGCCCCAAAGAATAAGGCCAAGGCTGCTCCGAAGACGGAGCCGAAAGCTAAGAGGGCCAAGTCCGGTGCCTTGGTGATTGGAGATGATCCCACACCGGTGGAGATGAAAGCAAGCATTCAGAGGATGCTGAATCTTGTGAAGTACAAAGCCGACCCCGTGAGAAACAAGAGTGGGGAGTGCCTGAGCGAAGCCCAGCAAGTGCTGGAGGCCGGGTTGCAATTCTCCATTTGCTATGCAGTACATTTTTTTGTGGGTATTGCATGTGCCAGGCCTACCGGCAGGTCGCCGACTCGGACCGAAAGGGATTCATCGCTGCCTACCAGAAGAATGGCCTTAAGGACTTGAAGTGGGTGGGCCAGTACACCAAGAAGGTTGTGAAGGAGGAAGCCGAGGAGGATGTCTCTATCAAGGGCATGATGACAGCGACTCTTAGATTTTATTTTATATAGGTTGCTTGGTCATTTTGTTTTTAATGTTTTGTTTTGCAATGCCGCTGAGGTCGCGAATTTTTGACCTGAATGGCCTCAAGATCAGCGACTTCCCAGAGAAGAGGCAGAAGGAGTTGCTGGAGGGTTTGCTCCAGGAATCCGAGGATTTCTGGGGGCACGAGAGGAACCTGGTGAAGCACAAGATGCCCGAGCTCTGCCGGTACTTTTACCGGACCTTGGTGGAAAGCAAAGATGCAACCCGATCGACCGAGTCAGGCACCTTCGAAATGAGTGCTAGCCTAGCAGCGAAGGAGATGAAAAGCCTGCAGAACACCAAGGGTGAGGTGAAGTTGGAGCACCCCGAGCGGACCGAGCTGAGCAACTTGAGCAAAGTGGCCAACAGTGCAGTCAAGAGCCTGGATGCCAAGCATGGAGAGTTGAGCTCGGAATGCATTGCTCTCGAGAATTGCCCCAAGCTCGCTAGCAAAGCGCCGGAGGTCCGGGTTACCCTGGATGCTCTGAAGAAGTTTGTGGAGGATCTTCGAAAGATCCAGGTCCTGCTGGATCGCAAGCTTCCCACGATGGACGAGGCAGCCTGCAAGAACGAGAAAGCCGACATGGACCAGTGGAATCGCAATGCCAATGAGCATCTTGACAATGTGAAGTTGTTGCTGAAGAAGGTTAAGGGCTGGCAGGCCTAGGATCCATCGAGCATGGATCTGGATATCATGCAAGCAGCATTTTGCTGCAGTTTTGCGAAAGCAGCTTTGAGGCGATCCACGGCAGGCGAACTTAAAAAAACAGTGCTTTGCAGCCGCGAATAGCATGCACTACATATTGTCTTTCAAGCTTTTGCTGAATGTTTTCTGCTTGCAGCCAAGGTCGATCTTCTCGAGCTGCAGACAGGGCCCTTTGCATGCAAAAGGGCGAGTGCAGCAGCAGCTCGCAGACTTCAGCCGACAACTGTGCTAGCTTGCTGTGCAGGGTATAGGTGCTCAAGTTTCTGAAGTTTGTTTCACTTCTGGAGCTGCATGTGAAGCCATGTACTCCAAGAACAGTCGTGGTTACAATGAGGAAGACGTGCCTGAGAAGAAAAGGTTTCGGGCCAATCTTTCGGATGCTTTTTTGTCTGGGCAGATCACAGCTGCCAGGACAGCTTCCCTTTTCAAGGATGCTCAATCTTCTGGTGCCAGTGGTGTGGACGACTTGGCCGCTGTACAAGACAAGAATGCAGCCAGAAGCCTACGAAGGAAAATGTTGAAGGGGTCCCACTGGCCAGACTGCTACTATGCCGACATAGAGCTGCATGACCCCAAGCTGCAGGAGAACCGCCAGGTCTCCTTGCCATTTTTGCTTCCCCATGAAATTCTGGGGAAGCTTTTTGAGTTTGGTGACTCAGCCTGGATCCTGAGCCAGGATGTGCTGCAAGAGGATGCTGAGCTGATTGAGAAGTTTTCTTTGTCGTGCCAGCCAGCGAGAGATCCAGCGACAATTCTGCCACTGGGGCTCTGGAATGACGGGGTGCCTTGCAATTGGGACAGGTCCCAAAGCTTGGAAGTTATAGCTCTAAGTTTCCCATCCATTCCTGGCCTTCGAGTGCCGCTGTTCTGTCTGAAGAAGATGTTTGAAGCCAAGAAGTGTACCATGGATGCAGCCATGAAGGTTTTGGTGTGGAGTTTCGAGCAGCTGGCTCTTGGAAGGTATCCTTCTCGAAGGCATGATGGCAGCCCCTTCGATTTACGGGTCGACAAGGCACGTCTTCGTCTAGCTGGGTCAGATTTGCCAGTTGCTTGTTTGACACAAATCAGGGGCGACTGGAAAATGTTCAAGGATACCCTTTCCCTGCCAGCACACAACGAAAACAATGGTTGCTGCTGGCTTTGTCCCATGACACCTGATAAAGTGCACGAGGTGGATTTGCAGGCCTCCTGGAGACATCAATATTTTGATCAGGAGGCCTTTATCATGAGGTGCTGGGAGGAGCACAGGTTCATGAGTGCTGTGTGGCAGTTTCCAAATTTTTGTCTCAAGGTCATCAGGTTGGATTGGCTGCATATTATGGATTTGGGTTGTGCTGCAGATGCTGCTGGGAATGTTCTGTACCACCTGCAAAGCAAGATGCCTGGTTCCAATATTACCAAGCGAACTGCAGAGCTCTACAAAGAGATTTCGCAGGAGTACAAGAACCAGGGTGTCGCATCCGATCGACTGGCCACATTGACAGAGACCATGTATCGCAAGGAAGCTGGAAAAGCTCCAAAGCTCAAAGCCAAAGGTGCAGAAACCAGAAAGTTGATACCTATTTTGGATGCTGTGTGCCGAAAGTTTTTGGACAGCTCAGGGGATCTGGATTCGGCAGTTTTGGCTTGCATCTCTTTGCTTTTGGCATGCTATGCTGCTCTGGATGTCGTGCCCTACGACCCCAGCCTCATGGAGCGAGAGGTCAGAAGGTTTGCTTTGCAGTATGTGTCTTTGAGGGATCACTTTGGTGACAATATCGCCTGGCGAGTTAAACCGAAGCTTCACCTCCTCCTGCACCTTTCGCAGAGCCCTACATGTCCAAAGGACATCTGGTGCTATAGAGATGAAGATTTCGGAGGAGCTACTGCAGCCATGGTAAGGGCCAAAGGCGGCCACAACACTCCGGGAAACTCTTCCCAGCTTGTCCTGGACAAGTTCAAAGCCAGAAACACCCTGCCTGTGCTAGCTGCTTGAAAATGATCGAGCGAGTGATCGACTGCATGCTTTGATTGATTTTAGGATTTAGGATAGGGTTAACGGCAATTTTCTGGAGCCTGCCTCCAGCAGAATCTGTCAAACTTGTTGTTTTATTGAAAGCTGTCAGCCTTAATTAAGAAACGTACTTTTCATGGTTATTTAAAGCTGAAAGCTTTAAATTTTCATTAAAACACCTTATATAATGTTTAAATAAAGGTTATAAGCTTTAAAAAGAGTTTAAAGCTTTATATAAGCATGAGATTTACGCCTGATAGGGAAACTTAAGCATGTCACCTTATTTAAAGCTTATTGGAGCTTCAGGGTCCCTGCCCAAGTGCATGGACAAAGTTGAACCAACCCTCAGCACAGCAAATACAGCTACATGTAATGCAAATGCGAAGGTGCACCTTCGGGTTCTCTTGCTGAAGTCTGCATGTTGATGCCTCCGGCACCCTCCATGCACCCATCCCGGACCACTCTCAGACGGAGTGGAAGTGGCCAACGCTGCAACATGCTGCGGTCGGGACGCACTGTCTGTCGGCACGCATCCCACTCAAGTCAACCAATTCGCGAAGCTGCTCCAACGACAAGCCCATACAAATGCTTTTCTTCGCTGCGTACCGATCCTGCACGGAGAGGCGCAGCTAGGAGCGCTCAGCAGGGCCTGCACAAAGTTTGCGGTGCTGGCAAGAATTCGAGCTGAAGAAAAGAACAAATATTATTTCATGGAGACTTTATGTCCGATCAGTTGGGGATGCTCGATGAACTTCAAAAGCCGTTGATTTTTCTTCACAACCCGCATGCGTGTGCGACTTCTCGGTCAAAGCAGAGGAAACAAAGCTCAAAGCGATAAAACCTGAAATCAGCAGCATAGCCCAAAAAGCCTGCATTCCCACACCCCGCACCTCCCCGGTTTCTATAATCCTTGCAAATACTTTTCTCCAAGAAACATCAAGCCAACCAAACCGCGAGTTCGCTCCTGCTTAAACCCTGGAAAACACGCAAAAGAATGCGCCTCTCGGAGCCTCTGACAACTCTAAGAATCGTGTGTGCCGGTGCGAGGCCGATCCTTATGTCGAGCTTCGATGCACTGCGGGAGGTAAAGTAAAGACTCTGCCATGCCGGTGTTAACGACACGGGACTTTCCGAAAATAGGGGCACCTTATTTTGGAGTCCTTGTATTAAGGATCCTATTATTTAGGGTACTATATTAGGGTCCGGTCGAACCTCCATGCGAAACCAACTTCACCAATACCCCAAACCCCCGGAGCAAGGCAGCACCAAAGGGGTCAAGCCTTCATGCAAAACCAACTTCGCCAACACCCCAACTCCGCAGCAAAACAGCACCAACGTGGTCCAACCTTCATGCGAAACCAACTTCGCCAACACCCCTAACCCCGGAGCAATGCAGCACGAAAGGGGTCAAGCCTTCATGCGAAACACACCCCAAACCCCGGAGCAATGCAGCACGCAAGGAGTCAAACCTTCATGCCAAACCAATTTTGCCAACACCCCAACCCCCGCAGCAACGCAGCACCAAAGGGGTCAAACCTTCATGCGAAACCAACTTCGCCGTCACCCCAACCCTCGCAGCAACACAGCACCAAAGGGGTCAAATCTTCATGCGACTTCGCCAACACCCCAACCCACAAAAGGCGTCAAACCTTCATGCGAAACCAACACTGGTAGTGCTCGTCAAGCGCGAGCTTGACTTGACCACGTCAACTCCGCAAGCCCCAACGCTACGTCCCCATGCCTGCGAACCTGAACCGCCACACTCAATGACGTCGTGTTAAGATTTACGGTTCGGGCATGGGGTTTAGGATTTGGGGTTTAAAGCTTAGGATTTACAGTCTATGGTGTAGGATTTGGGCCGGAGAGTTTAGGATCAAGGCTTGGGGGGTAAAGTTTAGCATGGAGTTGAAGCACGTTTATACCTACGTTCATGTCCACGTTGCGGTCTTTGTCTAAGTTTACAAATCGTAACAGTCCTATTTGGGCTGGAAACCTATCAGGTTGAGGACTTTAGGGTCTATAACGCTTAGGGTTTAGGGTTTAGCTGTAAGGATTCGGATTTGGAATTTGAGGTTCATGGGTCCAAAAGCCAAAAAAACAAAAAAACCTGAAGCCTCTTCTAAGCGATTGCAGGTTCAGGGTGTACTCTGAATGGCCTAAGCTCAGGAATACTTCGGCCGGCTGCCAATCATGCTACGGCCAACTCACGCGGACATGCCGCAAATCCACTCATGGTCGCGCAGCGTAGGCCAAAGCTCAGACCTCAATCACGGTATATGGCACTGGCATCAGAAACAGATCGGGCAAAAGCTGGACTGAACGCTTTTCCTCAGCTGTGCTACAGACACATTCGATGTACAGCTACACTGACAGATAGGTCCGATACGGCGACTGTGCGTTTCAACAGCACAACCGCAAAGTAGCGGCACACACTGCAGCAACTAGTGGCCTCGGAAGCAGGGTGCTCAGCATGCCCTGCTGCGCATTCCTGGAGCCTAACAAAAAAAGGTTGATGCTGGACGAAGGCCAGCCAAGGAACATCAATCCTTCACACCAACCCAGCAAGTATATCTTGCCGGACTGCTGCACTAGCAGTCGCGAAGACGAACGGAAAGTTGGAGGTTCAACTGAAAGTTTGCGTTTCTTCCGGCTACCATCCACGAACACCTGGCCCGCAGATGCTCCCGCAAGCTCCTCCATTGCTTTCGCCATCGTGGTCGCGGGCTCTGCTGCTGCACAGAGTTCCATGGTTGAGAACGCGGCTGCAGGATTCATGACAGCATCAACTGGAGTGGCGTGCTTGCGAAGCTCTTCTTGACACACGTCGTGCACTTGCCGTTGGATGTCTGCTGACTTCTTGCCTCTCTGCAAGAACACGAACACGGCAAGGCCGTCCTTGACAAGAAGCTCTTTGAACACACAAGCCCAGTCGGTCAGCTCTTCGATGAACTTCGTGTCGGGCTCAGCCTGCGACAGCAAGCCGATGCCAATGCACTCACTGAGACTTGTAGCTTGCCGAATGTGTTCCTCCAACTTCTTTCCTTTCACGATGCCAAGAACGATGCACCGTTTGGTTTGAAGTGTGAGCTTCTCCGGGGTCGTCACTCTCACAAACTCGTCCTGAAAGCGCACTCTTCCCAGCATGCGGGCCTCTTCTGCATCCGACGCCAAAGTGTGCACGATGCTCTGCGGGTACAAAACTTTCGCGCAACTGATGGTGTTGCCAACCCACACTATCTCTGGTGAGGCGGCCATCTGATGGCAACAACGCTTCTGCAGTCGCTACTGTACGTGCTAATAGGCAGCTTAAGGCAAAACTATGCGTGGCAGGCCGGTGGCGCCAATGCAGCTCACGAAACTAACGAAGCAAAATCATGCAGCAAGAACTGTTTTTGCAGGCCAGCATGAGTCAGCAAGAGTTCTACCTGCGATGTTCTTGGAGTGATAAGCTCGAAATTGAACTGCAGGGCTGCACTGGGCGTGCTGCTTTCCTCACAAGCACCAGCTGAGCACACGCCGTGACTAGAAGATACTGAAGTACCCGAGATGCCGCAACAGTGGGCACAGAATTCGGCACGTGCTGGTCACCGCCATGCCGTTTCCGATCAGCTGCATGGCTTCACTTTGGGATAAGCAGCTGATGTCCGTCTGCGACGACCAGCCCATCATTCTCCAGTGCGCCTGCACTGGCAGGAACTGGCCACGCGAGAAGTCGAACAAAGCACTTGAGGTTGTAAGTGACTTCCATTTGGCCGATGCACGCTCATGACGGGGCGGCACGGCAAGCGACTTCTTGTCCAAGACGCCGTGGTCAAAGCACTTCTGCAACAAAGCTGCGAACTTGCTGTGGTACTCGGCATCGGCGTGTGCGTGGACGACATTGTCTGCCTCCTTTGTCTGAAGCTGCTTGGTGTCCTCGGGAGCGTAAAACGTTCGGATGTCGTAGTAGAAGGGGTATTGCTCCAAAGCTGATGCCGCTGATGCCCAGTCTGTCGGGCTGAAGCCCGTCTCCTTGTGGCAGCCAAGCAACCACACCCGTGGGCGCTTCTGTGGCAAAGGGGCCGCTGTGGTGCTATGCGCCACGGCCCATGTGTGCTCAGGGAAAGCTTCCTGCAAACGTTGCATGTAGTGTGCCAAAGGAGTGGTCTTTTTCTTCTTGGTCTCACTCTTCTCCTCGATCTTTTCCTTAGTCTCCGCCTTCTCTGACGCAGGGCCAGCGCACGTAAACCTCAGTGTCGCAACGATTTCGGCAGGACCCATGTAACATAACAAACATTTCCGCTTAAACTTACATCCAGTCGCTTGCATCCCAGGACGTTCTCCAGTATGGCGAACTTGGGCCCGGCCCGCTTCATCGCCGACACCGCCAGCTCGAAAGTCTGCAGCGATGCAGCGAATCGGAGCTCGAGCTCAAAGGCCCATCCGTTTCGCTCCAGCGGTGAGTTGTGTTCTGAGAGCTGTTTGTTTTGCAACTGAACCCTGCGGAATACAAGGTCAAGTTCTTCGCGGAAGGCAAAGGACATGACAAGCCGTGCTTAAGACACAGCGGCTTCATGCGCCCCGAACTCGACTTCTTCATGCCCGTCATCTCCATGTCCTGGCAGGGACATCGAAAAAACTTAAGCCGTCCACGGTTACGGTAGCTCCGTCTTTTTGTTACGCTTGAAGCGAAAGTGAAGCCTTGAACAAGTGGTCCGGTTGGAACGGTTGACGCAGCGTGAAGGTGGCAGCTGCAGGGTTCTGCTCCGCTCCGTAGCTGTGAACGTTCGGGATGCCCATCAAATGCAAACAATAACCGATGGTGTTGACGCCGTCGCAGCCGGACGCCCACAAAAGCGGCGTGTGCCGACGCAGCGGCCCGGTAAGGGCCCCTGCAAATTTGGCGCCGTCGAAGGTGCCAGGCTTGAGGAGCACGGTGTCGTCCTTGACGCGGCGCGTCGCCGCAGACGCAGCCGGCTTCTTGCAGGTCTTACCCATGTCTTAGAGCTAAGGGCACTTTGGAGTTAAAAAGTGCAAGGGAACTTGCATCAACAGAGAAGTAACAATCAGGCAGTGTTGCATGTCACAAGCTTTGCACCGCAGGCTCTGGCAACACACTACTCTCTCGCATCATGCGTGCGTAGGCGCTGTCACATCCCGCTTCACGCATGCCGCTTCCTGCAGCCAGAGTTCCGCACGCGAAAATCTCTCAGGAGAAACCGGTCTGTGCTCGACGAGCGAAGGTGAGTGGAGAAGAACTGTTATCCTTTTGACGAGAATTCAAAATTTCATCGCACAGACCTTCATCATTCTCTCTCTGGCACAAGCCTTTTCAAGACAAAACCGGCCACGCATGATGGCCAAGCCTTCACGAAGCTTCAGGCAGTGCGGCGGCGACTGCTTTCCTGCGAGTCGGAATCATCTGTCTCCTGACCTTCGTCACTTGGAGCTTGAAAACTTGAAGCAGCAATGACGGCAGGCGTGCCGGACTCGGAAGGCAAATCACCCAGATCAGCTTTCTGCTGGGACAAGAGATTCTCAGCTTCCGCTAACTCTTTCTTCAGCAGCTTCACCTGAGCCTCTGTCGCCTTCGCCTCAGCAATGCGACCTTCCTGACGCCACTGTCGGAGCGATGCCTCCAGGCTGATCATCGGGCCTCCCCCAACGACAACCATCTCAGCAGCAACGGTGCCCGTCACGGCAAGCGGCTGTTTGCCCAGCCACACTGCCTCAGGTATCAATCTCGTGGCACGAGGATGTGAACATGCGAAGACAATCACTGACGTCTAAGTGCACTCAGGTCGCTGTTAAAGGGGACTGGACAGCGTCGAAAAACATCAAATTGGATGGCGGCGCCGTGCCCGGGACATGATGGACCAGCAAGCTCACGGAAGACTGTCGCCCTGCAGCCGCCGCGAAGCCCAGCACGGCAGCCGTGGTCACGTCCGTCATGTAGGCCGTTCCCCACTTGTCCAGATCCTTGCGCTTCCCCTGAGAAGAATTCAATCGGGTGGTTTACTCTATGCCCATGCGATGCAAACCGCTTCAACACGCGCCTGGACGGCTGACCCGTGTGCAGAAGTCCCGGACCGCCCCGTCTGCGGCTGAATAATATGTCCAGCACGTTGACTCCGGGACTTGGGCGGGCAACTGCGTCGTCGCCGCTGACAAGGAAGCTTTGTAGACGCTCGCTTGCACATGCTCGCTGCGAAGTTGGACGTGGAAGCTCTCAGATGACGATGAACGAAATGCTCCACTCTCGTGAGCGCTTTGCACATTCTTGACCTCCACGCACACGACCATGAACTTCGTCTTCACAAGTGCTTTCATGACTGGCTGGGCATCCGCTCCACGATCACGCTTTTTGCTCGGCACCTTCCCGTCAGAAATGGTTGCATCGAGCGCGCGGCTGCTGATGCGGCAAGCTTGGTAGATGGCCTCCTGCAGCTTGGCATGGCAAGTCGTGGATCCATCCAATCCGTAGCTCAGCGTTTTGCGCCAAGCTGCGGAGCTCATCACTGCGTACCCACTCAGGGACATAGAAGACGACATGACAGTCAGGCGGGCGGTCGAAGGAATCGAGTGGGCACAAATCTCAAAATCCCTCAGAGCTCTGAGCACATCTGGAAATTCAATGCGCGCTTGACACACGTTCCGTCACCAAAACTGCGCACGCAGGTGTTGCTCTACGGAATTTTTTACTCACGGCGCGGCGCCTTTCGAATCAAAACTTTGGATGTGGTGTGCACAGTCGGCACCTTCAGCCTACGCCTCCTCGTCCGAAGATGAGGAAGATTCATCGCTGTCTGGGCCAGCAACTTCTTGCGTGTCAGCCCCCTTGACCTCCCCGCCCGTCGGTGCGGGCACCGCGGCTGCCGGCGCGGGCGGTGCGGGCACTGCGGCTGCCAGCGCGGCAGCTGCAAGAGCCTCAACATGCGGATCTGGGGCTTGAAATTTGCGGGCGAGATCGGCGTTGTGATAACGATGGTCATGTGGGTCCAGCACACAAGCAGCCACTTCCGCGAGCAACCACTCCTCCAAGACTTTCATGTGCGCGCTGTTTCGGCACACCACCAAACCTGTGATCCGCGAGTCAAACAGGGCCCTGACCATGTTCGGGTCAGGTGACAGAAGTACTGCGGTGCTGGCACGCAAGATGTGCAAAACTTCGCGACAAAGCGTCAAGCTCTTCATGAAGAAATGCATCGGCAGCATCTCCTCCCATGAACATTCAAGCAATTTTTCAAGCGTTAGTGCATGCCCGGTTCGAGATCATTCCACACTGAATCCACATATGCGTCCTGGCCTCCTCACCAATCTCCGGGAGGAACTCTGTCACGGGGGCGTCCGTAGCCAAATTCTTCTTATCCGACAAGTCCATAAGGATCTTCTGTTTATCCGTTCGGCTGACTAGCGGTTTCAACTGCGAGGAAGGATCGGGTAAGGGCGCGAAGAAAAACCGCATGGCGCTGTTGATCGTTACGCCGTCTGTCAGCAGGAATTTGAAATCACGAGCCACCAAGGCATCCCCTTTCACATAGAGGTACATGCTCTCTGCACCTACGATGGAGCTCAAGCTGCAAGCCTTCCGCCGCTTGTTGCTGCACATGTCCTGCCTGAGCTCGCACGGCAGTTACCGAATGAAAAAGAATCAAGCATGACATTGCGCAACCCTGGCATGTACTCATGGAAGGACGATGCCCATTGCATGTCAGCTACGCGAAGCAAGCGCGCTTCTCCAGGTCACCCTGCTTCGGGAACAAGTTCCAGATTGCAAGCGTGTCGTGCTGCCCGCACATTTTGTTCATGGTTTTCTTGATCTCGGCTGCAGCCTTCTGGGCCCCAGCATCCCAAGTCACAAAAGCATCGATTTTCGGAATGGCCAGCGAAGCGAAACACTTCGTAGTTGCGCTCCTTGCAGCAGGCATAACAACAGTTGATGCGATCTCAAGCGCGTCTGCTCTGAATCGCTGCCAAGACTCAGCACATCTTTGCGGAGTGGAGGCGGTCGAGCAAAAACGTTGTGGCTTCGAGTGAACGACTCGGACTGTTCTGCACAAACCGAAGGGTCGAACACCCACAAGCGAAACATTTGATCTTGGCTGTCTGCTGTTGGCTTCAGCGCTGCAAGCGACCTCAATCAAAGAGAATGCGACGGAGCGAAGCCGCTCAGGGCTTGCATTTGGACTTCAGCTGAGCTGCGGCTCCACTACACTCTTCAGCGCTGCCGGGTCGGACGGATTAGCGACGATGAAGCGAAGGTACCGCGCCACTTCCGCACGCGCCAGTGCCGCGACTGCTGCCTGCTTGGCTGAAACACGTTTCTCCTCCAGTTCCTTTTCATCAGGAACCGCGGCCGGCAGCTGCTCCTGGTCCTCTCCGCTCAGGCTCTGCAGCGCAGCTGCTGCAAGTGGCACAGTTTCAACTGTGGCCACAGGCGCTAGCGGCTTCTCGTAAACATCACGCCACCTCAGAAACAGTCCAAGAACTTTGCCCCAGCACCTGGCGAAAATGCAGCTGAGTGGCTGTTGCAAAACGTCAGCGACAATGCTCTGCACACGGGGATCTTGCAAACGCACTTGGAATGAGGCTTGGTCGTGAGTAGCAATGATGCCGTAGAAGATGGGCATGTGTGTGCCACGAGCCTAGAGCGAGCATGCCGCGTATTCTATGCATCCACACCGCTGCGCTTCAGTTACAGTACATGCGTGCCGAAGCTGCAATGTCAGCCATCATGTTCAGGACCTTCACCTGGGAGTCCGAACATCCAAATGTCACATCGTTTTTCTCCGCTTCGGTCAGCGTGAACCAGCTGCCCAGAACTCTGGAGACTTTCTCGTTCCAAACTCGATCTGATGGATGCTTCACTGAAGCAGCCACATGCTCGGACAGCTTGGCCGCGAAGGCTAGCGCTTTCGCAGTGTCGACGAGAGCCTCGCGTGACAGCTCCGGAGCGGGCTTGCGGAAGGGCATGTCCTCAACAAAGCCTCGAGCGAGTGAGCCTCAACGAAGCGCACGTGCACCCGAGTAATAGTGCTGCAAGGTTCTTCCGCGTTACAGATGCATGCAAGCCGAGCTCCACACGAATCATGAAAGCAAATTCCTGTTTGTTCTCACAGGCGGCATTGATCTTCACGCATGTGCTCCACTTCGCGGCCCACGTTTCGTTGCCTTCGTGCACCTGCAGGTTCTTTAGAATCTCGGCGACACCCGCTTCGCGAGCACGGCGCAAGAGTGCGGCGAGCTTGCGTAGCTGATCTGCAGAAGCCACTTTTGAGTCCCCACATGCATAGCTGAGCTTGTGGTCTTTCTCCCTCTGCTTGAACAGATTGAAGACATCGACGATGGAGTGATCGAGCTTCATGGACCGCAACAGTTCTTGCAACCTCACGCTGCCATGCGGCATACACGTGCTAAACTCCCACCTGCTCACGTTTCGCAACGTCACAATGCAGCTGAGGGTGTCGCTGCAACACGCGTTCGGCCAGTCTCATACAGAGGTGGTTTCCCTCCTCGAAAGCATGAAACCGGGGGACACGTCAAACGATGGGACCGTCCGTTCAGAACACAAGTTAAGCTTACAGCTGCCAAGCATCTGCCCGGCATGTGGCTATGACTTCCTCCCCTCTCTTGTGCAGAAGCCAGAATGACTCCAGTGAATCCGGTGCCGCTTGAACCAGAATGCACGGCAACGCCTCGGCTAGGTAACATTTCTAGCGTTTGGAAATGATACATTATCAAGCTGGGCTGCGCAAGCTTTAGCCGCATAGCACTCATTCTTGCTGTGCTCCGCCCACTCCATCACAAAGGCCATCAGCCTCGCGCAGTTGGACTGAAGTCGAAGCTGCCCCCTGCACGGGAACGAACAGGAAGTCTGAAAAGAAAACTGTGAGTATGAAATAATTAAATCCCACCTCTGTGTTTCGTCACCGTACATGACCATCACATCCGGCATCTCCGATATGGTGCCGTCCGGGAACCAAAAACGACGTGCCTCAAGCACATGTGATACTGTGACCTGTGCCACCGCCATGCCGGGACGGTCATCCCAGTCGATGTCGCCAAGCCCAATGACGCAGCGCTTCAGCTCCGCACAGTTTGCGCCGCTCCAGTCTGTGGGCATAGGCATCAAGCCCTGCATCGGCTCGGTGGGCGAGCCGGCTTTCATCCAGCATCCCTGCTTTTCAAGCCAAGCTTTGGCTTCGCGGAACTGCTCCAACGCTTCGTTCGCAGGATGCACCTCCGGATCCTGGATGCCATCGTCTGGGCTGGCACCTTCTTTGCAAAAGCGCGCGATGGACGCTTGAGAATCCGCTTTGGACTTGCGCTTCGCCATGAAGCGTGTGCTGCAGGCGCCTATCGCCCTACAGCCCTACAGCCGCAGACGCAACTCACAGGCTTCAGGTTAAAAGACTGCGGTTCGCGGCAGCAAACTTGCAAGCGTTCTGACTGCAAGAACTGGGCTGCACAGCAACCAGGGCTGCGACGCAAGGCCGCTGGCCTGATGTCTTGCACGAATGGAGGTTGTCGCCGTGTCAACTGCGACGGGAAGGCCGGAACATGTGTTGCCATTAGCACGTGCTGCAGCCGCCTGACACTGCAGCAACTCGTCACAGGCCCGTCTGGGAGGAAGACCAGTCCTGCGACGTCAGGCCGCTGGACTTGTGTCTCACCTGGCTCCATGGACAAAGGTCCCTAACCGTGCCCAAAGAACGCACTTGCAAACTTTCACTTTGCAGCAGCCTATGCATGAGCAGCGGTATTTTTCCCTCCTCTGTACAACATCGCGCCGACCAAACATTCATGCGTTGGACTTGTCTGTCTGCTTGTCATGACATGACCCGAGCACACGTGACATATCCTAAATGTTTATACCTTTACCGGCATCACGTTCCGACATAACCGCCATTCAGGTCATGCATGCCCCGGGGTTGCACGAGCCCCTGCAACCCGGCCGTGCGCATAACCCAATAACAGTGGAGTGGGGTGTACTGCTAATATTATCATTGTATTTTGACTCTAGGAACCTTGCATCCTCGCAACCTGAAGCTCGACACCTAGTGTCTCGAACCCTTGATGTCAAATCATCCAGACTATATCTATCCCACAATCGAAATCAGCAAGTGAACCCATCGACCAACTCTCAGGAAAAACTCCAAACTGCGACCTGTATCCAATGACCGAATATAGTAAACCCTAAATATTGGAGCCCACGAGAATATTTAGCGGCCGAACCAACACAAAGCCGAAAGACTAAGGCCGGACGGGCCCGAGAGACAGTTGCAAGCAGTAGTAGTCGTAGTAGTAGTAGTAGTAGTAGTAGTCGTAGTCGTCGTCGTCGTCGTCGTAGTAATAGCAGTGGTAGTAGTGGTGGCGGTGGTGGTGGTGGTGGTAGTGGTGGTGGTGGCGGTGGCGCTGGTGGCGGTGGCGGTAAGTAGTAATAGTAGCTACGACTTGACGAACGCCACTGGTGATGCAACATGCCAACCAAGCAACATCACAAGCAACGTCAAGCTTGAAACGTGTCAAACACGGACGTACTATCGTCGCAACAACATCGCAAAGTCGTGTTTGCAAACTTCTCTGCCGAACCCAATTCGATGGAGGAACCAAAAGCAGAGAGAGCTGCCAAAATCTTCATCTTGCATTCCAGAATGAGTTGCACAGCAGTGGTTTCGATCCTTTACTGTCACGCAGGGCTTAAGTGACCGGAACACAAACCGCTCCCGACGTGGGCTCGGAAAATATGCGCTACGACTGCAAAGCATTCGACGCTTCGCATCTACACCTTATTAACAACCCTAGATCTCAACACCCAAACCCAAGATGTTCGCGGCAAACTGGCTGCCGTTGAAGCTATGAACACGTCGGGAGTTTGCCACAATCGATACATGTCAGTAACTGCTTCCAATAGAAACGAATTTAAACAGCAACGCTGCAGACAGCCTTTTGGGCGCACGTTCATAAGATTGGAGTACTGTGTCATCAAAACGACATGGACCGCTCATAGTCTCGTCCGATACTAGGGCTTGCTTGTGAGGGGCGCATCGCAAATTACAGCTTTGTGCCGTAGAGTTCAAGGTTCACGGTTTAGGGTTTAAGGGCGTTTGAGGCTGAAGGCAAGATGCTCAATCACCATCCAATACGTCATGGATGCAAGCAAGATTTGTCCGTCCCCCAGACCTTCCAAAATCCCTTAATTAAGGAATATACCTTAAATCATATTAGGGATCCTACTATGTTTTAAGGTATATTCCTTAATCAAGGGATTTTGGAAAGTCTGGGCCTAGATCCTTCAACCCGAAGACCTGAGTGCTTCAGCTTCTAAGCCTAAACCCCCACAAGCCGTTCTTGAAGTAGCTACGTGCAGGTTTCTGGGAGCCGTACCTTTGCAAGCTTGTTGAAGCTCGATGCCTGCAGCAGCGCGGCTGGGTTAATAACATGAGCGGCTTCCGAGCCGAGCCTCTTCAAGATTCATCATCTCTTGTCATCTTCCATGCACCTGCCAGAGCCGAAAATCTTACATGTATGACTCACTCAGAAGCCCTGGCCTTCGCAGCTCGTCTTCCGCAGCCAAAAAAACTCAACTGGTGACCGCTATATTGCTCAAACTTCTGCTTTTGATCTTAATCAAACATCTCGCATGTCTGAGCCCGTGTAGCTGAGGATGGCCTGGGCGAATTTCGGGCCCGTCCCGCTCCCCACCCCCCCGTTGCACAACAGGCTGTTGCTGCTTCCTCCACATGGAAGACGTTGACACAACATCACAGCTGAGAACCCACCTACCCAAAACAAAACTAAAGTTTGGACACCCGGAGCCGCTGCGCCCCATGCCGGGTGTCCCGAACACTGACAGAACTGCTAGCTTCGAAGCTGTGACGGACAATGACGCTGCCGGTGCGCAGGGGCGGGTGCAGCAGCAAAGCTGAACGACGGGCAAAGTGAAACTGGGCAACCCCATTCACACGAGCCAATTTTCAGGATACCGCTGCGCTGATGGGGCGAAGCTACTTGTTTGAACCCCCTTTGAAACACAAACCCCATCATCGAATGCAGACTTTGTGTCGCATTCCCCCTGTCACAGTTGACGTCGTCTCCCTACTGGGACACCCAGTTCTCGCCTGGCGCAGGTGTTTCACGGGCAACGAGCCCACAACACAGCAAAGTGCACTTGCACGGCAGGATTTAATTTGAGCCAAGCTTCAGCGCTGCATGAACGTGCTGGGCGTCATCCGCATGCCAGGTGAGACTGTGATCTTACCGTGCTGCTTCTTCACGGCTTGGGCGGACATGAGAACCAAGCATGTCTTGTGCTTGACATGCTTCCACTTTGTATACACCGTCCAACGCATGGCCGCACGAGCTGCCTCCGAAGCCTTGATGCAGGCACTGATGGTGGCAGCGACCTGATCTGTGGCCGCCGCGTCGCCGTGGCCGACCAAGCTTTTATGGAAACAGACACGCATGCATTTTTGAAAGGCCGGCTTAAGCACACACAGTGGCGGCAACAGTCTCCCCTGCGCAGTCGCTGCGGCTAGCCACTGCGGACCGCAAACTCCCCCACCCAGCAGCCGCATGCCCACGACGAAGGTGTCCAAGCAGCTGGTCGAGAGCAGCGTGGCTGCTTCCTCCTCCTCTCGGCTTTCTGCCAACCACAGTAGTTGACGACTGCCGTGTTCCAGCACGCGTTGCGCGGGTTCTTGCACGTCCCGACCCACAGTCGGCCAGAGCACAACCGTCGCTCCCAGTCTGACCAACTCCGCACTGGCATGATCCGTTTTGCAGACGACAATCGTGCCGCGTGGAAGGCCGTCTGCGTGCAGCAAGGTGGCGAGCTTCTGGGCCCGACATCTGCCAAGTCGGCTGAGCATCAACGACTTCGCTGCCTCGAACTCCTGCAACTTAGCCGCGTAGGCGTGGTCCTCATACGGCAAGGCGTCCAACTCCTGGAATTTCAGTTTTTCTTTCGCATAGGTGCGCAGTGCTCGGGAAAGCTCCTCTTGCTTGGCCGTTTTCCTCTCCTCAGCGGCTCGCCGCGCAAGAGCTTCCAATCTCTCCAGGTTGACGCGCTCGTCATCCGGAATGGTGTCTGCACGTGCAGCATCAAGGTCTCGAAGCCTTTGTCGTTTGAACCCTGCGGTTCCTGGAGCGGCATCCGCATCGGACCGGATGCGCTTGCTTACACGACGCCCCAGCTCCAAACTCTGCTTTGCAGCAGGAGCAGTGTTGCCGAACATGTCCCGAAACTCCCGCTGCACCTTCAACGCCATTTCCGTCGGCACGAGCTTGTAGGACCCTTCTTCCGTACGGCGCTGCCATACAAGATCCTCCGGTTTTGGGCCATCGAGTCGCGCTTTGACAAGTGCCCTGCGCAGGGAAGTGGCCAGGACTGTCAGCCGTAGCGCCTACATCCCCACCCGGCAACCCCCACCCTCTGCAAGAGTAAGGGCGTGACCTGAGATGCTTCAACTGCGTCCGACCCTTCCGGCCAGCTTCGTACATTTCAAGGAAAGCAAAGTTTTGCTCGACAACTCCATTGCCCGGCATGGTGCTCATCATGAAGGCCACCTGAGGTTGCAACAACTTGTCTACAACATCCTCTCGCTCACCCCCTGCATTTGCTATCTCCCCCGTGCATCCAAAATGCTGCTTTCGCGAGCACTGGAAGTTTCTTCTGCCAGTGCTGTACTGCTTGCCCCCACGCCTTCTCCAAGTCGGCAACGCCCGCCCTGCATTGTTTGCAAGATCAACTTCGACAGCCCTATCTCCCGCGTACGGCGCAACGGATGCTGGAAGTAGCTGAGCCCCCTACTTCTGCAACTTTTGCACCGTGTCCCGCACAGTGATGTGATCGTTTGCAATGCACTGTGCCTGGATGCGAAAGCAGTGCGCAAAAATGTATGTATACTGATCTAGACCACGGTGCACCTCCAAGCCGAGAGCCTTGGAAAGTGGCTCGAACGTTGCGACCCTTAACAAGCAAGCACGCGCCGGCAATGGCCATGCCCACAATTGCGCACGGAGGACTAAACCGAGTAAGCACAGCACAAGGATTCGTCGTCGCGGTGCTGCCACCACGTCGTGTCGAACGGTTGCAGTGCGGATGCGATCATGTAATCGTGTTCTGCTGTGATGCCCTGAAGGTAGACTGTGATGGCGTTCCAGATGCTCCCCAGTTCGCAGGCTGCCCATGACAGCACGTCCTGGGCCGAACCTCCTGCCGAATAAAAAATCATTCTGCCTTCAGAGGTTAGCGCCTGTGTCTCCATCAGATTCCACGAACCCTGCAGTGCCTGGACGTACCCGGTGGAGTGCGCGGGATCCAGTACCAGCGGTTTCTGGAGCTTGCCTTGCTCGTCCCTGAAGCTAAACAAGCGCACGAGCCGCGATCTCAAGCAGTTGATGTGGAATGCGGACTGCGCCAAGGATCCTCGGCCGTCATGCAAATCTGTGCGCGTATTCGCACGCCGTCGCACCGAACTCGGCCACGAGGGCCAGCAAAAGCAACGGACCAGGGCGGAAAAGACCCAGCAGGCGCTCGGCCCACTGGGAAGAAGATCCCCGCGCAGCTCGGATCTCTACCAACATCTTGTATATCGGCACCAAATTGCACGTCACGGTTTCGGCCACCTCGGCGATGGTGGGCCCTGTGCAGCGAAATGAAGCATGCGGGAGCACTGTTCCTCGAACTTGGCTGCCAACTTGGGGCTGTTTCGCAGAGCTCTCGCAAACCCCCCGTTGTCTTTGTTCTTTTGAGACTTCTCACTGTCCTTTGGGTACGCCAGCACCCATCTGGAAACCAACTCCTGGATACGAGGGTCTGAAGACAATGATTTTTCGAGGCTGCGGATGGCCGCATGTGTCGTGCATCTGAATATTGCACGGATGTTCGGTAGTACATTCTTCTCCTCGGGCGAGACTGCGGCAAACCGGTTTATTCTATCGGCACTCGCATTCCTTAAAGTGGCCGCAATGTCAAACAGCAAACACAAGTCACCCAATAAAAACTAGTGCCCGCTGTCCTTGGCCAGTCTGACACCCAAACCCTCCACCCGCTCACCGTCGGCCATGAAGGCCTGGGCAGGCAAGGCGGGGATGTGTCGCAGGAAATCGTGATCCCAAAATCAACCCTGTTTATATCATTCTGTCCCACCCAATTTACTGCTCACCCATGAAACGCATGGTCCCTCAAAAGGCTGGCCTGGGTTTTATCTGCGAAAATTTGGGTGATGACCGCATCGCCATCCGCAAATCTGACCAGCGATGCATGCAGCTGCTCCATTTTTGCGAGAGCAGTCTTCTCGGTGCTTGGTGCCAAGTCCAACACGATGTCTCGGATGCTCCAATCACCGAGGACTACCTTGCAACGAACGAGCTCGTAGGAGCCACGCACGTCCTGCACGTTGAAAGGATTAAGTTCCGCACGTGTTCAATGCAGGGACAGCTCTATAGCGTTACTTCGGAAAACATGGACTGTTGAATCTTCTGGAAACTTACAGGTCGAGGTCGGGGGTCCTGCGCCAAGCAAATGCTCAGCACTCCCCGCTTCTTCATGACCAAGCGGTCTTCACGGTACAAAGCAGCGGCCAAACTACGCTGAGGATTTGGTAATGGACTTTGGCACCGCTGCGCTGCAAAGGGCACTGCAAAGGGTTTGCTTTGTGTGCGTCCTCGCATCTACGTGCGCACTCTTCCCCTTGCGCTCCGTTCGGAGCGTGGCAAACTTGAGCACTGATCAGTAAATGCTTCAAGCACAAAGGTTCTGGCGCATCCTCTTGCTTACGATCCACCGGTGCTGACGCCGGTTGTCCGCCCAGCTCGAACTGCAGGGCTTTGAGGTGGAATTTCGACCGTGCGGAATTTTTTTTGCAGTCGCCGCTGTGGCGCAAGAGATCTTCGAGCTGGAGCGGCGTGCACTTCGCGCCGTGCCTGCAGGAATTAATTCGTGTTGCTGAAGGTGTACATGTGCTTGGGCCAGAACAATCGGCTAATGTTTGGTCCAAACCCCACTATAGGCACGATGTTCCAGTTGACAACTTGCGGACCCCGAACAACCTCTTTGCTATGCCCAACAACGCGCCTCACAGCCGCCCCTTTAGCACATCGAACAAATGGAGAATCACGTCCAACAAGCTCCGGGCGGTGCAACGCCAGCTGCTTGCACAATCTGCATCCCAAACCGAATGGTTCGCCAGGCATCGACAGCAGCAGCCACGTCTTCGTCATACCTCAAGGGTCTACTGCTGCTTGCAAGTGCTGGTACGTGTGTGTTTTGTGCAGGGCTTCTACAAGATTAAATTCTAGAAGCCCTAAACCCGAGCAGTGAAAATGGCGAGCAAATGCATCTAGCAAGTTTAGTTCCCCGTCGGTCGTCAACTCGTTGGCGGTGAAGCCGCACGATCTCCCGCACACTTCATTCGACCGCATGCTGCATTGGCAGCGTCTCAGAGTCACCATAAAGAACTTGACCATGTGATGTGATACCACATGTTGTATTGAATGCGAACCACTTTCAGTTTCAGCACTTGTTTCTGTTCTTGCCGAGAACATACCAATGTGTGTGAGAGAGCAGCAATGTGTGTGCATGTGTGTGTGTGTGTGCGTCAGCTGTGCAAACATACATGCGTCTATGCGAGTACACAAATGTCTGTCTCGAAAGAAAACATGAACATTATAAAATCCGCAGGTGTGCAAGAGCATGGCAATGGGGCATGGTTGCATAACAGCGAAATGGCCTGACAGCATGACAGGATGCTGGCATGACAGCATGACAGCATGATGGCATGACCACATGAAACAGCGAAATGGCTTGACAGCATGCTTGCGGCATGAAACAGCAAAATGGCGTGACAGCATGACAGCATGCTGGCATGACAGCATGACGGCATGACCGCATGATGGCATGACAGCATGAAACAGCGAAATGGCCTGATAATGGCTTGAAACAGCGACATGGCTTGACAGCATGACAGCATGCTGGCATGACCGCATGACGGCATGAGAGCATGACAGCACGATGACATGACAGCATTACGAAATGACCACAGAAAGATGGACAGCATGCTGGCATGACAGCTTGATAACATGACAGCATGCCGACATGACAACATTATAGCATGACAGCATCACAGCAGGATAACGGACAGCGCAAAGGCAGCAACTAGCACGGCAGGAAACTCAGTCCAAACAAAGCAGTATCTGAGGCATGTTGCTTTTTGGCATTATATTTTGAAAGCATGACAGCATGATGACATGACAACATGATGGCATGAAAGCATGCTGGCATCGCAACATCACAGCAGGTAACGCTAGGGCTTGCTTGCACTTTGTCAGGATGACATGTACAAGTACCGTTTTTCAGCTTTGGCCCTGCAGTCGTTTGCACGGTAACAGCTGTCTTCCATGCGTAGTTGCGTGCTCGTGCATAACATGAGCATGATTGCATGCTAGCATTTTGGCAGTACCTTATGTGAGTAGCCAAATGCATATGTGTCTGCGGCAAACCACACGGGTATGTTTCTAGTCGAGGAACGTCATGCGGCATGAAGACGGACATGTGTACCTTATGTGCGTGTGGACTCACATGTTTGACTCATGTTTGTGTGTGTGTGTTCGAAACCGACGTGTGTCAGAAGGATTGAAGAGGAACTACAGCCGTAGGTGGGTCGGGCCATGATGCCATGATGGCATGAAACTCAGTTAAGACAACTTGGTTTGCAGATTGCTTTTTCTCAACCTGTAAACCCTGAACCCTAGAACTTTTGACCTTTACAGCCTACGCCCTCAAACCTGAAACGCTTCTGCTCCGAAAAAACAGCTTGGTGTTTGATATTTGTCTTTTCTCAACTTTAAACGCTGAACCTTGAAACTCTTGATTTGGTTTTAATTTTCAGACCTTCAAACCCTAGAAACCATGATGGAATGAAAGCATCTTAGCAACACCCTACCATAGCCGATGCTCACATAATATATGCGCGCGCGAAACAACAAGTATGTTTGTAGCCACAAGAAGGACATGTGCGTAGAAAACAGACATGTGTGTCTTATGCGCAAGAAGACTCACACATGTCTGTGTATGTGTGTGTGTGTGTGCCAAACTCATTCATATGTTTGCAAACGGACGCACACATGTGTGTGCTCGACAAACAGAGATGTGAGGGAAAGAGTCCAGGAGAACTACTTCGCTGAGTAAGTCGGGGCATGAAAGCATCATGACAACACACGCAAGCGAGGGGAGGGCACCATGGAGACGACAACCCTCCATTCATCGACGGCCACACGCGGGGCTTGCATCATAGTCTCCGTGTTCTGTTTCAAAAGAACACGGCGACTATGATGCAAGCAACGAGCTGCTGCCCTGGCGACAAGCAGGGCGCTCCGCCGCCACCACGGGCGCCGGCCGGCAGCGGCACTGCCGCCACCACTACCACCACCCGCCACCGCCACCGCCAGCACCGCCACAAGCAACACCAGAACCGGATGTTTGTTGCTTTGCGAGGCTGCCGGCCGCAGCAACTGCTGCGCCGGAGCCACTGTTTCGATCGGCCCTGCGCGGCAATCCTTGCCCAGCATGAGCGGGGCGGGGGAGGCAGGGTAGGACCTCAGTGGGGCCTCACGGAGGTAGCAAATCGCTGCCGCGCAATCGAAAGCTAAGCCCTTAAACGCTGAACCCCGATCACTTCCTTACGTCGGCGTCGTTGCAGGTCGTTGGTGCCGCCCAACCCAAACGTAAACTCAAAACCCCAAACCCCATGGCTTCCTGTCGTCGGCCTCGTCACAATTTTTTGCCGCGCAACCCAAACTTGAACCCCTAAACCCTTAACCCCACCACATCCTCACGTCGGCCTCGTCGCAAGTCGCTGCCGCACAACCTGAACCTTAAACCCCCGAAGCCTGAACCATATCGCTTACTCACCTCGGCCTATCGCGTGGTGGTAACGGCGGTACCGGTGGCTGCGGCGGCGGCGGCGGCGGTGGTAGTGGTGGCGGCGGTGGTGGTGATGGTGGCGGCCGTAATGGTGGTGGTGGCGGTGGCGGCGGTCGCCCGTCGTCCTTCTGGACTGCTGCGCCCAAGAACCACGGAAAGAGAACCGACAATTGCTTCGAAAGCGTCACCGGTCAGGAAAATTGCGCAAGTCGAAAGCAACGAATTTTTTACGTGAGTGGAGCCCCACCCTCTCCACCCGTGAACCACACCTCCCTTTGCCAGAGCAAAGGACGGGCAACCATGTGGTTCGCCATGGCGACCAGGGAGCGGCCGCAGAACAGAAACGCAGGTCGCGCATGCGTGTTTGTCTTGCTGCTGCTGCTGCTGCTGTCAACCCGTGATTCGTCAAAGCGTCAACGCTGGCCATGCTCACCGCTCGGCCAAGTCTTGGTCGCTGCGACCACCTGGCGCCCTACCAGAACACAACACTAGCAACCGAGCGCGGAGCAATAGCTGCAACCGGCAGCCTCGGGCCGCAACACCCGTCGCAGAAAGAAACAGTCAGCGCCACAGGTCGTGGCAAGGCCTTGCCGTGCCACCTAAAATGTATAAAACCCCTAAACTCCAAAGCCCAATCGTTTCCTCACGTTGGCCTCGTCGCTGTACGTGGTGCTGGCTTTCCTTTAATGCTAGAATTTATTGCATTAGATATATATATATATATATATATATATATGTATGTATATTATATATATATAATACTATATAGCCATTTTTTGGATTCACATTGCAGAACACGAAGAGCAAATTACAGAAGACGTTGAGTCGTGGAACAAAACGGATAGGGCTGCTTATTCAAGCGCCCGAACGTGTGCGTCCACCTAAACCTCTAAACCCCTAAACCCCATCGCTTCGTTACGTCGGCCAGCGCTGCACAACTCGTTGCCCCCACCATTGTCGCCGCACCCTTTTAGAAAAGACCGCGGCGACAATGATGCAGGCAGCGAGCGTGCCGTGAAAGCCTGCGTTCGACGAGCGCGGCAACGCTTCGCGAGCGCGGCAACGCTTCGAAGCGGAATCGTTACGTCAGCGCTGCAGCTCGTTGCCCCCACCACGGTCGCCGCACCCTTTTAAAAAAGACCGCGGCGACAATGATGCAGGCAGCGAGCGTGCCGTGAAAGCGTGCGTTCGATTCGACGAGCGCGGCAACGCTTCGCGAGCGCGGCAACGCTTCGAAGCGGAATCGTTACGTCAGCGCTGCAGCTCGTTGCCCCCACCACGGTCGCCGCACCCTTTTAAAAAAGACCGCGGCGACAATGATGCAGGCAGCGAGCGTGCCGTGAAAGCGTGCGTTCGATTCGACGAGCGCGGCAACGCTTCGCGAGCGCGGCAACGCTTCGAAGCGGAATCGTTACGTCAGCGCTGCAGCTCGTTGCCCCCACCACGGTCGCCGCACCCTTTTAAAAAAGACCGCGGCGACAATGATGCAGGCAGCGAGCGTGCCGTGAAAGCGTGCGTTCGATTCGACGAGCGCGGCAACGCTTCGCGAGCGCGGCAACGCTTCGAAGCGGAATCGTTACGTCAGCGCTGCAGCTCGTTGCCCCCACCACGGTCGCCGCACCCTTTT